CGTTTTTTGAAAAGTAAACAATGAACTATAATTTTCAAAACATATTTCATCAATGCATGGGTAATTAAGAAGGAAGAGTAGACCTGTACATTTCTGTAATTGACACTCCACATTGGGCGTAAGTAGTGAAGCACTCACTATGAAAATAACAAACAAAATTGAAAGCCTCTTCATCTTTTTCCTAGATAATTTCTCTTCTTGCAGTGATAAAAGAATGGCCCGTTTAGTTCGTTAATTTGAGTTTTTAATTCGAGTTGAGATGTGACTTTATGTGAGTGTTTTTTTACTGTAGTAAAAAAGTTAAATGTGACTGTTTCTGATAGCTTTTTACTGTAGCAAAACTTGAATTTTAAACTCGAATCGGTAAAATGAACGGGGCCGAAATTTGTTTAGGAAATTGACTGTCGTCAATACCCTTAGATAGCGCTAGTGGGATAATGAGAAATACATTGAAATCGACATCTTTAATCGTAAGTATATCTTTTTCTTTGAGGACTTTTTTTTTTTTTTTTTTTTGAGCAATTTTCTTTGAGGACTTTTGTTTCTTTATATTTTTAACAATCCATTAACTACGATATTCATAGGATAACAGATACAATCTTCTTTGAGAGGCAATTTTCTGGGGAAATTTTGATTTACAGTTCATAAGCTTGAAATTTTGATTAGGAATATGTGGGGAAGTTTTAGTTTACAAAAATATATAAATATTTTATGTAAAGTTCATAGGGCCAGGTATATTTCTGGCTTGTATTTTTTTAGGAAGGCACGATATAGATTTTTATACATACAAATATATATATATATATACACACACACACACACACACACACACACACACATATAATAAACTACCCAATTTACGGCTAAAACATCAACACGTAACGATAAGTTAATATTGGAATGACCATTATATTTCGAATAAGAGTCTATTATTATATTATTTAAAGCTAAGATATATAATAAGAAACAGGATTATTTTTGTGCGCGAACTGGTAATCAAGGCTTCCCATTAATTATTAGCAATGATATGTAGGCCTCTATTTTCTCAAAATAAAAATACTAACAATAATTTTGAAATTTAATATTACAATAATAGTAATTATAACTCTACTAATAGTAAAGGTGGGTCTATTTCCACCTCATCCTAATAATGAAAAAAAAAAATACATCCTTTCAAAAACAAATTGTGGAGCTACGTGCTCGCATTAGGGGACCAATAAAGAAAATAATAGTGTTACAGTTTTAAACTATTTTAGACTCATTTTACGAGTAAAAAAAAATTTTTTTTTTTTTGGTTTCCTTTTTTCCTTTGTAAACATAGAGAGGAGAGGAAATAAAAGTTTAATATTTTTCATAACTTTCCCTATGCCAAGGCCCCTGTGGATCCTCATTAAAACATTCCAAGTAAAAATCCAAAGGGCGAAACCAAAGGAAGGTAAAAAGTACTCTTAACTCAGTGAATTAACGAAATCTATACAACTTTGTTTTAATTGTTTCAAATTTCCATATATATGCTGGAATTTAAGCTATCAAAATCTCCCAAGTCCTAGAAGAATCGATCAAAATTTAAAAAAACTAGTCGCAATTTATGAATAGTGTGAAAGTAGTACCTTTTCTCTATTACGTTTTTCTTACTTGATTACTTTTTTTTTTTTTTACTGCAATTACTTGATGGTTCTATTTCATAAAATAGTTTGCAACAACCAAAATTGCCAACCCTAATTCGCCCGTTCATCTCACAAAGCCATGACCGGCGGTAAAGTCTGTCATCGCCTGGTAGTCGAATTAGGTTGGAATTTTAAGGAAATAGTTATAGGTGTCGATCAAGAGGGTTCAGATCGGCTCGGCGGTGATTGCGATTCCGTTGTTATAATTTCAATCCATTCATCATTGTAGACATAAATGGGGAAAGATGCGTAAATGCTCAGAGGGAGAGAGGGACAAACATTGTAGCAAAGGATTTGCTTGCAGATTAGATTTATTTGGTTTGAAATAAATCTTAGTCTATTGGAACTAAAAAACCTATTTATATCATTTCAAAGATGTGAAAGGGGAAGAAATGCACGAAAAGCTTGATTTAATTTTTTATTTTATTCTAAAAAAGATTTAATCAATATATACAAGAGATGGCGGAAATAAATGTATATACAACGTCAAGATACGAAGGCATGAAAGAAGAATTTTAAATTTACCTATATAGCAACTCTTACTTTCTTTTTTTTCCCCCTTTTTGTAAAGTGCATGCCATTAGTAAAGTATTCATATCGTTAATCAGATTGATAATAATTGAACTTCAAAAAAATGTTATATATTTGATTAAAAAGATAAGCCTTCAATTAATTATCATTAATCGTATTGTGATAATCAAAATTCAAAAAAGTACATTTTGCTTAAAAAGTTATGTCAAATTCGTAAGATCATAGATGTCTATCACAATCAGAAAATACAAAATAATAATAAAAAAAGAAATAAGCAATCAGATTTTTAGTACTTAAATATATATGTGAAATTTATATAAAAAATATATATATCTGAAATTCAGCTCGCAGTCCCATATAAGTCTGAGTATTTGATTTATATACAACGTAAATAAACTGATTACATATAATTAAGTGGTCAAATAAAGTTTAAATCTCAAAAACCTGATACATAGTAATCCTATCATATCCTTACTTCCTTCATATCTTTACTAATCTTTTTTAACGTAAACCTTCATAGAAAACCTGATACATAGTAATCCTGATTTTCTTTTAGAGCAATTTTATTAATCTTTTTTTTTTAAAGAAAATTTTTCCTAACCTGTCGCATTATCAATATATCAAACAAAGGTAACTCCTTCGGAAGTTTTTTTGCTAGAAATATAACGGTAACGGAAGTTATAACGGAAGTTATAACGGAAGTTACTACTTTCTTCTTACGTTGATTCTCACCTAGGGGTGTAATTCGGCCGGGTAGGCTTGGGTTGGGCCGAAAAATTGGGCCGAGCCGCACTGTGCAGGTTGAGAAAATTTTAGACCGCAACACCCTCTTAAGCCCACAAACCCGTAACCTGTCGGGTGACCTCAGGTAGGCTCGGATTACTCAGGTTACTCGGGTTACTCGGTCGACGAGTGTGAGGAACGGCGTGAGAAGTGAGAAAAGGAACTGAGAAGGAGGCGAGGGAGGCGAGAATGCGAAGCTGGGGGAGGCGAGAGTGCAAGACTGAGGGAGGCGAAGATTTAGGGTTACAGAGTACAAACTTAAGAATACCCAGGTAGAAACGGCCGGGTCGGGGAATAGCGGGTTAAAGACTGCCCGCCCCGCGGCCCAACCCGCACATTGCGGGTTGGGCCTATTTGAATCCAATTTAATATATATATATAACCCTATATTTTCGGGTCGGATCGAGTCGATTCGGACGGGTTAGTCGGGTTCGGGCTCAATTCTTACACCCCTATTCTCACCTGCTTCAAACAGTCCACTGTGCTTGTTTTTCTCCCTAATCTGCTTTCACCTCTTAATTAAACAATAATTAAAATTCATTTTCACTTAATTATTAATATCTAATAACATTAGAGATTATATATGGGAGGAGTTGTGGTAGTGCCCACCTGAGGCACGATTGATAGTGTGCCCAATTTTAAGCCACATAAATAGAATTCAAGTGGGTGAGAACATTGAGGGTGCACAGTAGCTAAAATAGTCATTTTCGGCATATCGTTCCTTTGAATATTTTTTGTTTTTTTAGGTTAAGTATTTTTGTTTTTCAACTCAATCAAAAAAGAGAAGCTATTGTTTTCAAAAAAATAATAATAATAAAGAAAGAAAAAAAAAGAGAGAAGCCATTTATCAATTCAAACTAAAATTGTGGATCCTAATATATCTTCTCCCTTTATATATTTATTCTAAAATATTATTCAATGGTAAAATATTTGTTTATATATATATAAATAGATTATGTGAGTTTGGGTTATGTGTCAACCTAAATTCACTTAATTAATAGTCAGGTTGTGTAGGTTGAGTTGATATCTTGATTGGATTTGTCGGGTTCGGATTATAATGAATTGGATTAAGTGGATTAATTGGTTCATAGGTTGTCGAGTTTTTTGTTCACCCCTATTATTAAGTGCCTCCATTAACATAATATTGTGAATCGTCACTGCATATCCTCTTGTTTCACCAAATAAAATCACTAACGCAATTACCGTTTTTATTTGTTTGTTTTCATGATTTTTACATGAGCAATTGCCCTTTTATTTAATATATAAAAAAAGCTTTTTAAAAAATTATATTGCATATTTTTACTTTATGTTTAGGACAAAATGAAGTTTAAGTGTTTAGTTATATGTTTAAGATTTTTTTAAAAGCATTTTTATATATTTAATAATAAAGATAATTTTATCTTTTCGTATCTCAAAAAACTGTCTTGAAGTACTAAAAAGAAGATTTTTTAAAGATCGAAATACCAACATAAAATTAAAAATTAAAAAAAAAATAAAAAAAAAAAAAACTTGAAACGTGACCAAACGTTAAGGAAACAGGTGGCGATCCAATGCATCAGTTTTTGGTGGGCCCTAGTGTCAATCCAACAAAACTGAGCCGTCGGATCATACGTAGGGGTAGGGGAAACGAAGATACAGTATTGTAGCATTTTCCATAGTTAAATTACGTTAACTCCTTATTTTTCAACTAAAATTATATTAAACAATTTGTAAGACAATACCCGTTTTCTTTCCTCCTACCTCACTAATTCACATTTTCTCCTCCTATGTACTCATCTTGAAGAAGTCTCACAGGAAAGACACAAGAAAATAAACACTCAAATAAACCGACAGTTACATCTTTATCACAAAAAAAAAAAAAAACAAAAAAACAAAAAACAAAATAAAACAAAATCCTACAAACTAGTTAGTATGAGAATATGACAGTTTTACTAAAAACATTTCTTGCACTCTTCAGCAGCTGAGCCAACAGCTCATTATTCCTATAGAATTTGTTACAATTAGTATTCTAAATTTCCCATGTACTTTAATTAACCTCTTATGTAACGCAGAGCCCTCCTTCACTCTGCTCTCATGACATTTTTCTCACATGTTAGCTCTCTCTCTCTCTCTCTCTCTCTCTCTGAAGAGATAAATGTCACCAATGTTACAACCATACTTACAGCTGAACATTTATTCTCTGAGACATTTTGACGATATCGGAGTGAATCCGGTCACCTCCGATATCCGAACCGGTTGCTCCGGCAGCCACCCTCATCACATCTTCTATGAAAGCAAAATTGCCCATGATGTCAACATGTGCACCACTCTCAACCCCCCTTCCCTCCAGCAGGCTAGCCGGTGGCTTGTGCCGGTACTCCCTTATGTAAGTAGAAATTCCGGCAGGGTTGAAACGGGTTCTTCCTTTCCACCCCTTGGCGCACATGAAGCCTGCACTCGAAACAGGAACACTCTCGTCACCGTCCACAAAGTACACTCCACTTTTCAAGCAGCTATCTGGCTCTCCGTCAGCCGAGCTATCGATTCGGAATGGAATACTCTTGCACTTATCAGAAGGGGATTGCTTGTACACGTATGATCTCTCCGTCGGGATGCCAACTCCGTAGAGGCAGTATATCTCCATTTCCGGAGCATGAGGTAGCCTTAAACAAACATTCGTAAATATGTAGTGGAATTTAAAACCAATGAAACAAAAGAAGTGGTTGAGATATTTTTCATTGAAACTAGTTGTTAACTAAGGGTATGTGCTTCACTTGATTTGAAACATAAGGGCATATTTCAATGTAAATCTAGAGATCATGTTGAAGGTTTCAAAGTAAATCAGAATAGAGTTGAATATCATCTGTACTCACTTAGTCTCAAGTGGGTTAGACCAGTACTTGTAGTGGTCATACTTGGGATCATCAAGATTATCAGCTATGCCATGAGAGAAGTGAGCCTCAGCTCGTTGCATCAGTTTCGGAGCTACAAAGCGTAGTAAATCGAAAGCATTTTGAGCTGTGTAAGCCTTATTTTCTGCAATTCTTTTGATGCTCTCCCTGCTTATCTCATCGTATTCGGTCAACACCTCTCCACATGATAAACTAAGACCAGCAGAGGAACGTAGGCGCAGCAGTTCCTACAAAAAATTGGAGAGAAACTATGGTTATTAAGAGCTATAAAAATTAAACATGTCAAGACTTGTACTAAGTTGTACTTAAAGAATGTAAATTTAACTGTATCACAGTCAGTTCAGTCGTGTGTTAAAATAAACTGGAATTTAAAGACTGGGAAGATATATTTACAGGAAACAAGCAAACGAAAGGCAGACAAAATCTACTAAATTGAGGAATATTGGCCAAGAACACCAGATAACTCTCGGACAGAAGATTGAATTTATATAACTACTAAAGGAACTTATAACACATGAATATGAGCCATGTAAGACGGACAGCTATAACTTTCTTCTTACGTCCGAAATCCAAATAACTTTCTTCCTACAAAAATCTTTTTCTATGGAGTTATTGGCAGCAAGCTAATTGAAAAGTGGAGGAAAAAAAAATAAATGAAAGAAAAAAGAATAGTAATACCTTCAGATCTGGAGAAGGCAAGCGAGAAGAAGGTATTTGTGATGCTGCTTTTCCAAAGGAGATTATTCTTCCATACTTCACAGGTTCTTTAACACGGAAACCTCTAGTTCCATCACTGTGGTTGAAATTTACGTCGCCCGTAGAAAGCTGTGCGTTCGCTTTCTTGTCCAAATCACAACTATTTCCTTCTTCTGGAGACCAATCCAAATTGCCCCAGATAGTATCTCCACCTTTTGGCAATAAGGAAATGACTGAATCCCAAGTTCGAGATACACGCATGATATGTTCAAGGGTTTGAAGCCCAAGAAGCTCAGAATCCAAAACACCTGGAGCCACAGCTCTGCAACGACCAACAGTTACAGTTGGTTACGTACTTGTGAAAATTTCTCACTCCGACTTTATGCATAACATTCTAACGAAACTAACCCAACTCTCAAACAGATTGAGATAGGATGAGTATGATGAGCATACTATATGTATTACATGTTTTAGCAAATTATGTTCTGTTGAACTCTTAAAAATCTTTCACATGACTGAACTTGCGTTGGACCATACAAGTTGGATCATGATCTAATGATCAAATTCAATAATTTCACTAACTAGTATCTGATGAAATGTAATCCAAAGTTCAATTATACCAGAATTTTGCTTCATATGATAGATGGATTGCAAAGACTAACCTGACAAACGCTACATCTTTCCCCTCGGCAGAAAAAATATTACTTACTGCCTTTGGAACACCAAGAAAAGCCGGACCGATGTTCATGACTGCTTTGATGTGCTTGGCACACCAATCCGGACCACCACCACCCCCCATCGGAGGAGGTGATTCAACCCATTTCATGAAGTGGAGGAAATAAAGTACCCCCATAGAATGAGGTACCACTACCACTTTCTTATAGCCATTGGTTACATACATAAGCTCAATTTTACTCTTCAATCTACTTAGAGCTTGGTCGCGAATCTGCTTTTACCGAATTAGAAAACATATTAGTGTAATTCAGTACTTTTAATTGCATTATCTCATGCTTTAAGTTTTGGAATCTTAGAATTCGTTACTTTTTTTTTTTCAGTCTACCCTGATCTTAGATGCAGGAATGAAAGACTTTTCACATGGACAAGAGGAAAGTTACAGTGGGAAAACAATAGAAGCAGAAGAAAGCAATTATACCTCAGTATTTTGGAAAGAGAGTCTCCAATCATAAGCAGCCATGTACATATTCTTCCCTTCATAGCCAATTTTGGCCAAATTCTCAATGAGAACAGCCCAAACAAAGTAACCAGGGGCAAAATAGTCGGCTGCAACAAGGCCGGGAACGGCGCGGACTCGAATGTCTGGTGGGTCCAATCCAGTTTCATTGTGAAGAGACAGGTGCTCCAACCAGCACAATGGCCTAAATTTGCAACAAAAAAATCCACAAGATGGTTGACAAAATGATGCAGAACCAAAAGTGAATAAGTAGGAATAGAGACAACAGAGAATTGAAAGCAGTAGAGATTGATTTTCTTAATTTCTAAAACTTCATTAGCAAATGTCTGAGATGCTTAACATACTTTGAGCATATTTATTGGTAGACAATTTTTAAACTCTACTAGGCAAGCTAAACTGGAATAAAAGATTACAAAACATACATAATTGATAGCATAAGCTCAAATCCTTAGTCATCTCATACCCAATTAAGCATCACAAAGTGTTTCAGAGCTTCAGAAGTAATCAAGAACATAATTCACAAGTGGGTTCACAAATTCACTCCAAAAAGTAAGAAAATTCTATACTATTGAAAAAAAAAAAAAAAAAAAAAAAGTTACTGCCGTATGTATTTTCTTATTCTTCTAATATAAAAATGACATAATCACAAACCAAATTCACTCCAAAAGCATCCTGCAGTGATGAAAAAAGGTCTGTTCCTTTTAAAAAAGAAGAAGAAGAGTGAGTACTCTATAACTATAAATTTAAAATTTAATTTCTTCTCATAAAAAAATATTATAATCAGAAACAAAATGCACAAATGGGTTGACAAGTTGACTCCAAAAAAAAATTGTCTTCAGCAAAAAAGAAAAAAAAAAGGACTCAAAAAGTGAGGAGACTCAACATCAATAAAGTAGAGTAAAAGAAGAAAAGTTGCTACTCTGTTCTTTTTTTTTCCCTATTTTTAATGTAAAATATAATATAATATAATATGACATTTAGATTTCAGTGAAGATTTCAAAAAAGGCAAAACTACCTCTTAAAGATTTCAGTGAAGCTGCCTCCCCAAAGCCTCTTGCGGAAAAGTCCATCAGAGCAAGGCTTGCCTTCCCAGAGCTCAAGTCCACCGGTGACAATGCCCGGCACAAGAACAACCGGGTGGAGAACCGCCAAGCCCTCGTCACGCCTCAGCCTCTCTCCCGGCGCCTCTCTCACCGGCAATGTGGCCGGCAAACACTGACAAACAAACAGTAGGACCCACCACGCCGTGCATATGCACCCTATTGCCCAACAACACGAGTCTATGCACCTCCATTCCCTTTTGCCAACACTACTAATGTTCTTGCTCTTGATCTTTTTACTCTTCTTCTCTTCTAACACAACAAAATTACCAATATTATGATCACTCGTTGTTTCAGTGCTAGAACATGATGACGATGACTTCACTGCTGGCTCTATGAAGCAAAGCTTCCTGAATCGAAGAACAGAAGAAGCCATTTTTGGGTTTTTTTTTTTTTTTTTGAATACTTGTTTTAAAGAGGAGGTGATGAAGAAGAAGAAGAGCAAGAACCCATTAATGGGAAATTGAGATTGAGAGAGAGAGAGTGTGTGAGTGTATTGGGGTTATAATGGTTTTATGCTGGCTAGGCTAAGCTAGCCATAACGACAAAAGGTGAGACCACGTGGAGATGGAGAAGATGTGGACAGTCATGCACACCAGAATAGGCCACACAACAGGGAAAAACAAGGGCAGAGAAGGAAGAATCATCGGCAGAAGAAAAGAAGATCCTTCTTCGACCATACTTGAAAAAAAAAAAAAAAAAAAAAAAAAAAAAAAAAACGGCAATAATTAAAAAAAAAAAAAAAAAAAAAAAAAAAAAAAAAAGAAGAGAAAAAAAATTGGAAAAATGGGTTGTTGAGCAAATTGGCTTGATTGTGTCTACACCTAGACGCTCTAGGGTTTTGCTCTTAAGACACTTGTCTTGGCGTTTACATGCAGCCCTTTATCACCTGTCCCCATTTTTCTTCACAGACGTTTTTTTTTTTTTTTCCTTTTCTTTTCTTTTCTTTTCTTTTTCTCTCTCTTTGGTTTTTTTTGTTTTGTTTTCTTGTCGGGAATGATCTAAGATTGAGAAGAAATAAAATAAATGAAATCTAAATAGAAATATGACGAGGCATCACTGACTTTAATAACAATTTATTACATATTCGCTCAATAGAAATTAGAAACTACTAAAATTGCGAAGCAAATAAGGAAACTGAATCAAAACGAAATAAAGGGAACTCGGAAAGCTGCTAACTAATAACATTAATTTTTAATTAAATATTCATATTAAATAATATCGTGATCTCCGCCAATTGCTCACTATAAATAAAGACTTAAATAATTGTACGAGATGCCATTAATGTTCTTTTATGTTTTAATTTTTACTAAAGAGAACGAATAATATTGTTTAGAACTCGATCAGTGCCAAAGTACCCTAAAAAAAATTTCAGTCAATTAGTACACAAATAAGGTCCGCATTTATATTTGGCGAAGAAAGTTGAATTGGTGCTTCTACGTTCTAGTATACACTAGTGAGTTGTCATATAATACTCAATTACGAAATAATCAGTATGTAGTATGAAAATGCTATTCAAAAGTTAACACCAATGATGACACACGATTAAAAATCAATTTTTAAATTGTTATAAGTTTATTATATATACATATATATATATATTAATTTACATATATATATATATATATGTGCGATATGGGCATGATTCGTTTAAAAATAACGGTTATATAAATTATTTTTAAAAAAAAGTGAAAGAAGAAAAAATGATACATGTCACTTTAAAAAAGATTTTAACTTATTTTATTGTGTTTTAATTAGTTTTATTATGTTTTGTTTGAATTTATTTTTTATTTAATTTGGTGTGATTTGATTTTACTTTAACTCAACATATTTTTATTTATATTTTCATTAGAATTATTCACAACATTTTCATGTGAGTAGTATCGGAAAGTTGGTGCAAGATGGTAGTTAAACGGTTATAATTCATACGAATTATTTTATATACTTTTATCTATGTAGCATAAAAAAGTTGGCGCAAAACGGTGCAAAAAATCGGCCAATAAATCACTTAAAAATAAATATAATAATTAATAATAATAATTAAGAAAAAAAAATGATTTTAAGTCACACACGTGATCTATTTAAAATAACTAATATACAAATTATTTTTTAAAAAAAAGAAACGAAAGGGGAAAAAAGGTATAAAAAAAACGAGTTAGAGTACGATGACCCGAATTCTATGTGGTGTGGCCCAAAGAGCTCGCGGTGCAACATATGTGGCAGAGTTTTAATAATGAAACTTTTTTGGAGGCCTATAGTGGTAGTGGAGGGATCAGGCCAATCTGCCCGTTTGGACCTATTTTGTTTAATTTATTTTTAATGTAATTTGACGTGATTTTAATTTATTTAGTGTATTTTTTGAATTTAATCTGATCATTTATAGTATTTTTATCTAAGTCGTATCAAAAATATCGTGCAAAATGATTTTAGAACAGATAAAATCATACTACAAATCCATTATAAAGTAGTAATTAAATATAATAAATAATAATAATTAAAAACACTCTAAGATTTATCACAGACCATTAGATCTAAAAATTTAACGGCTGCGATTAGCACGTGAAACACACGCGCAAGAAGATGCACGTCCAGTGTGTGGCAGGGGACAACGGCATCAGTAAAACCGGAGGTGGGCCCCGCCACTTTCTTTTTCTCGCGAATCAAAATGCAACATGTGGTTAAGCAATCAGCCACAATAAGTGATGCACGGGATCGTCTACTTTAGTTTCACGTGAGCGCGCTTTTCTTAACCGTTAAAATACAACGTGTGGCTACTCTGTCTATCAGGCCATCTGTATTCTGCCACGTGGATATCACTTAAGAAGATGCGCAATTGGATTTCGACACCTGGTTTTTATGCTAAATCTCGCCACACACAATAATTTTCCCACTAGAGAAAAAAAAAAACAACTCAGTATTTGTGGGCCAGCGAAAATGACTAAAAAGTCCAACCAAAAACAACTGGATAAATAAGAAACTGAGGGCAAAACGGTAAAAGCAACACTAAAACAACATGGGTGGAATTTTCTACAATAAGAGGGAGAGAAGGGACCGGACACTGTTCAAAGAACAGAAACCCGGGTACCTTCTTTAGTATATAGTGTAATTAAACCAATTTTAATTAGACTATCTCCAATACAAATGTTAATGTCAATTATATATTTAACATCAAAAAGTATAAAATGATATATTATTTTCATTTTTACTTCAATACATAATACTATTTAAAATGCTAAATTTACTTTTCTTATAATCATTAAATTTTAATATAAAAGTGAACTTTTATTTTTAAAATAATTAGAAAATGTAAAAGTTATAATGATTACATAAAAAAGTGATCATTTCAATTAAATGTTAAATTTTTCATATGGTGTACTTAGTGAGAAATTTAACACAAAATATAATATATAAAAAACATAAGATAATAAATAGTATTGCATTAGAGATGCTCTTATTAGCTAAAGTGCTAAACTTTAGAGAGAAAAGGAACAAATAAGAAAAATAAACATAAGTGATAGCAAGCATAAATTTTTTTTTTTGTTTGAAAACATGGCAACCATAATTTTACTCATATTAATATGTAATGCACATTCTTATCATAAATAATACTTTTAAAAACCACTAATATCAAATAGCATTATTTCAAAGGAGGTTAGCTCATGAGGAACCAGTAATGAAATTTGAAATGGATAGAGAATAAATCTAAACCTTTAACTACGCATCAATGAGATTATTATTATTTTCAATTCATCAATGAGATTAATTGATTCTTGTACTATCTCTTTTTTTTTTATTAGCAAAAAATCAATTGGTCTGTGCGTGTAAATTGGTACGAACACCCATTAATTAACCAATCAAAGGTAAACATATTATTGATAATAAGGAGCCGTTTAATTGTTCATTCGAGTTTTTAATTTGAGTTGAAATGTAATTTTACTTAAAAAAATTTTACTGTAACAAAAAAGTTAAATGTGATTATTTCTGATAATTTTTTATTGGCCGTTTAATTCGCTGATTTGAGTTTGTAATTTGAGTTGAGATGTGATTTTACGTGAAAATTTTTTATTGTAACAAAAAAGTTAAATGTGATTATTTCTTAGAACTTTTTATTGGCCGTTCACTTCGCTTATTCGAGTTTGTAATTCGTGTTGAGATGTGATTTTATGTGAAAGTTTTTTACTATAGCAAAAAAGTTAAATGTGACTTTTTCTGATAACTTTTTACTATAACAAAACTCAAATTCTAAACTCAAATTAGTGAAATGAACGTGATCGTAAAATTTAAATTTTAAACTCGAATCAATAGAGTTAAACGTGTTCTTCTTTCATCACGTGGATGATGACGCTTTTAGTCTTTTTCCCCCATCTCTATTATTGCCACCTCTTATTGATTAATCCCGTAAAAAGGGGAGTGAGGGGATTGTGTGAAACTGAAAAGACTTTTTGAAGTTTACAGTTCGAATGGAAAAACAGCTTCTCGGGTTTTTGTGCTCTGCTAAGTCCCGAGGAGAGGACGGCTGTGTTTTCTTTTAGGCCAGAGAGGCGGGGGAAAGGGAAGATGGAAAGAAAACAATTGCAGTGACACTTTTTTAATTTTTAAGGTCTCGTTTACTTTATGAATTTAAGTTTTTAATTTGAATTGAGATGTGATATTTTTTTAGAGTTTTTCACTGTAGTAGAAAAAGTTAGAAGTAATATTTTTTAAAAATTTTTTACTGTAAAAACCTAAAACTGAAAACTTAAATCGATAAAATGAGTGAGGCCTAAATTTACACTTTCATCTCCTACCCATTAATTTCTAGAGAGATTCTTTGAAAAGCCTAATCTATTTATAAATTAAATTTTTTTAACGGTTAGATATGTATATTTTAAATTTTTACATGATTTTTATGTATATATGACAAATAGAAAGTTTAACTTATATGTTGGCGTATAAGATGGTCCCTTCTAATTAACTTTTATCTAAAATAAAATATTCCTTGCATATCCTTTTTATATTCCTTTTTAAAATTCTTCTTTTTTTAAATTCTAAACAATTAATTTATTTAACTAATTATGCACATATATTATTAACATATTAATGCAATAATATTTTATTATTTAACTATAAATAATAAATTAATAAATTACATTTCATTAACTAAAATACCCCATTTACTATTACTAACTAAACAATATATTAAGTAGTCTCGAATTTACATTAAATAAAAAAATTTGTGAACCAAAGATTACATTTAATAATAAAAATAAACACAAAAGTAATCCATCATAAAAAAACACACAAAAGTAGAAAATACATATTGATAGTCATTTAATTATATAAATAATTATCCCTTCAATTAGTATATTCTTCCCACAAATACATTTTGAAGCACATTGTGAGCCTTTGCATCCTTAATTTGTCTATATCGAGCAAGGAAATGTTTAAGTCGGGTATTTTTAGAATTGAGTAATTTACTTTTATATT